GCCTCTGCCTCCCAAGTGCTGGGACTACAGGCATGTGCTACCACTCCCAGCTTTTATTTATTATTTTATGTGTACAAGTGTATTGCCGTGTTGTGCAATGCCATGGGGGTCAGAAGAGGGCTTCAGATTCCCCTGGAACTGGAGTTGAGGACGGTTTGTAGCCACCATGTGGGTGCTGGGAATCGAACCGAGGTCCTCTGCACAAGCAGTCAGTGCTCTTAACTGCTGAGCCATCTCTCCAGCCCTGCTTTAAAAATTTTTTTTTTTACAATTATTATTTATTTATTGTGTGTGTCTGGACAGCATGTGTGTGGAGGTCTGAGGACAACTTGTAGTTTATTAATTCCTTCTGCCATGCAGGTCCTGGGAACTGAACTCGGGCTGTCAGGCTTGGCAGTAAGCACCTTTACTGGCTGAATCATTTTGCCAACCCAATAATTTTTTCCTTTTAAAAAAAATATTTATTTATTTTTGTTTTTGAATATGAGTTTTGTGCCCATGTGTGTATAAGTGTGCCATGTGTGAGCAATGCCCATGGAAGCCAGAAGGAATCAGATCCCCTAGAAGTGATTTTACAAAAAGTCGTTAGCTACCATGTGGGTACTTTAGGAACTGAACCTACATCTTTTGCAAGAGCAGTCAGTGCCCGAAATGCTGAGTCAACTCTCCAGACACCCAAGAATTCTTTCTTAACACATATAGTTTTTAGTAATTTCAATTTCTATTTAGATTTGAAAATAAATGTTACTAGATCAGTCTTTCACATTATTTTACCTTCCCTAACTTAATTTCTTCTTTTTTAAAATTTTCATTCAAATTTCCTCAAGAACTGGTTCCATACAGTGATCTTCTACCTCAACGAAGGAACTCATGGGGCTCATGAGGCTCTGTTTGCTGACAAGCTTGATCTGAGTTTAAGTCCTAGAACCCACATGGTGGGGAGAGAACCAACTCCCACTAGTTGTCCTCAACCTCCACACCCATATCCTTATGTATATGGAAACACAAAATAAATACTTTTTAAAAAAGAAAAAAGGGGGGCTGGAGAGATGGCTCAGCAGTTAAGAACACTGGTTGTTCTTGCAGAAGACCTGGGTTCAGCACCCACACAGCAGCTAACAGCTGTCCTTAACTCCAGTCCCAGGAGATCTGACAGTCTCTTCTGACCTCTGCGGGCATAGCACAACACAGGTGCACTTACCTACATGCAGGCAATACACGTATACACATAAAATAAAAATAATAAATAAAATTTAAAAAAAAGAAAAAAGAAAAAGGATCTCACAAGTTATACCCCATCAGTTCATGACCTTCCATGTAGAATCTGAAGCATAGATTCCCAATGGGAGCTACATACTCTAGACCACACAATTCTTTATTGAATAACTGAGTGAACTGTCTCAGAGAAAGTTTACTAATGGTTGGTGATCATGTGACCACTGTCTTTCCAGAATTCTTTGTATCCTCAGACTAAAGTTAGGGCCTATGTTTCAGATCAAACCTCTCACAACCCATCTGGCCACAAAAGACTTTAAATTGAATTCTTACTAAAGTCAACACACTAATCTATAGTCAGAGAAATGTAGGAGGTGAGGAGGAGGCACTTAGCTACACACACAACAAAATATGTGTATACACACATATAAGCTAGTAGAAAAACCAGTAACAGATATGAATTACCATCACAAAAGAGAAAAAAGATCAATAAACACAAGAAAAATGTGTTCATTAGTGATCATAAAAGCACAAATTAAAATTTTCAGGGTGAGGACAGAGCTCCATGGTAGAATCTTGTCTAGCTTGCACAGTGTCCTAGGTTCTAACTCCAGCATTGCAAATACATAAATACATACACACATACATACATAGACTGTAACACGTATAACAAACAGTACTGGTATGCATATGCAATTTCTAAATATCTAATATATAAAAATAATCAAGAAAATGCTATTCTTAATTTTCTAATATTGTATTACTTTCTTTCAAAGCATAGCTTAGCACCTGAATTATATTTATTTCTTGTTTGTCTTCCCTACAATATAATCTGAGTTTACCGAAAACATGTGCCTAAGTAGTATTTGGCACGCTTCAGGCACATAACAAAGACTGGTTGTTAAAGAATGTGCAAAGGTTTATCTACAGAAATTTTCAAAATAGTAAAGGTTTTTTATTTTATTCTATTTTATTTATTACTTTATGTGTATGAGTGTATTGCCTGCATGTATGTAAGTACACCCATGTCCTGCAATGCCCAAAGAGATCAGAAGGCATTGAATTCCAGTTGGAGTTACCAACAGTTGTTAGCCACCATATGGGTGCTGGGAACTGAACCCGGGTCCTCTGCAAGAGCAGCCAGTGCTCTTAACTGCTGAGACATCTCTCCAGCTCCCTGGTAAAGGTTTTAAAAGTTAAAATTGGAAAAAAAAATCTAATATCCACAGCATGTGGTTGGCTAGTACAATGAATGGTCAACATGGACAGCTATGTAACCATGAGAAAGTAGACTACAGAAAAAAAGGGAAAACACATCCATCACATAACCTCATTTTTGTTTTTTTAAAAATATTTTACTTATTATTTTTATTTTATGTGTATGATTATTATGCCTGCATGCAGGTAAGTGTACCCATGTCATGCAATGCCCGCAGAGGACAGAAGAGGCTGTTGGATCCACTGGAACTGGAGTTACAGACAGTTGTTAGCTGCCATGTGGGTGCTGGGATTTGAACCCGGGTCTTCCAAGAACAGTCAGTGTCCTTAACCACTGAGCCATCTCTCCAGCCTATAACCTCATTTTCGTAAGTAAGAAAAGTAAAAAGAAAAAAAATACATGCAAAGACAAAGCTAACACAGTATGTGTATGTGTGTGTGTATTTGTGTGTGTGTGTGTGTGTGTGTGTGTGTGTGTGTGTATCTGTAGCATGACATTATCAGTGGACATTAATATGGGAGTATACAGGTGACTATTTTCTTCTTATTTGTGGTTTCCTATATCTTTCACACTTTACCTTTTTATAATGAACATAATTCTTATCTAGTGAGACAAAAACAAATTCAAAATAAACTAAATCCCAATGAAGACATCTTAGTTTCTAGTTCAAATGAGGAAAACTTTACCTTCTGCCTCATCATCGGAGATCAGTTCATCATCAGAGCAGATGTTGAGAATGTTAACCAGCATCTCTGTGACTACAGGACAAAACAGTCCAAAATTCACTGTTAGTAGGGTTTGTTCAAATGTGCATATGTAAATAAAACACATGCTAAATAAAAACGGATAGAAACCATTTATCATCATACTATGAATAGTTACAAAGAGTAGCATTTAATGTAGACCATCAGGTTTGGAGAGAATTAAGGTAGATTACTTGTTCCAATAAAAGGCTAGAATCTGAATAGTCTATTGTAGAATTGCTTGATTTTATTAGACTGCTGTTCAAATGTTTGGTTCAGATATGCTCATGAACAACTTCTTCCCATTTTACAAAGGAGTCACAGTAGGCCTTTGTCCAAGAGGCTTGCTTTCTATTTGTAGAACTTACCTGTGTAGCTGTACAAATAAAATCTAAGCACAACAAACCCTGTATAATTCTTTTTAGCACTGAAGTCAGCACCTAGGAAATGGTTTAGGGACCATGTTATTTTACATCTTGATTGTAGGACAGCTGCTTTAAGTTGATATTTAGGATAAGAAAATTACAATAGACTAGAACTAACATTTACAAACCAATTAATGTCATTTAAAAATCTCTGTAGAGCCAGGCGTGGTGGCCTACGCCTTTAATCCCAGCACTCAGGGGGCAGAGGCAGGCAGATCTCTGTGAATCCAAGGCCAGCCTGTTCTACCACAGTGAGTTCCAGGCCAGCTGAGGCTACAGGAGGACCCCATCTCTTTTTTTTTTTTAAAAAAAAAAAAAAAAAAAAAAAAAAAAAAAAAAAATCTCTGAAGAAGGCTCAGTGGGTAAAGATGTTCCTGTACAAGCCTGGTGACTTGAATTGCATTCCAAGCTCGCATAAAGGTGGAAGGACAGAACAACTCCACGTTTATCCTCTGATGTGCACCCCGCCCTTATCATGCGCATAAACACATAATGCGTGGCCACACACAATAACAATAAATAATCATTTATAAAATCTTTGTAGAGAACAAACAAGATGAGCACACATTTCTGATAACTAGGAGAAGCCCTTCTGAACACTAGGGGCTTGTAGACTGTAAACATGTCTGGCGCTCAGTTGGGACAGCTGGTCAGATAAACACTGCCATTCGCTTACCTTTTTCTCCAACAAAGGGCAAAGACCACGTGAAAACATCCATAAAGTTTGGGAGCCAGTAGGGGTGTGGAGAACAGTTAAACTGCCTGATATTCATGACATTGTTTTCATATTTCAACACTGCAGCTAAAAAGTAAAAAGCAAGAAAATTGAGCACAGAAGAACATGGTATAGCAACCAGAGTGCTTTGTCCAACGTGACCCTATTGTGCAGAATTGTCAATGACCTACTTTCCATTTGCCAATTTGGGGCTAGGGTCAGGGCAGTTGGAAGAGTTTAAAGTATTTTACATGGTTCATTTTCTTGGGAATTATTACAGGGGACAAGGTATCTGAGGAGTTCACATAATAAATAAAAGCACAAAAGACACTGAGCTCTGAAACCAAAGGTTTGCTGCATATTAACTGTCTAATGATTCAACACACAGAAAACTTCCCCGTAATTTCCTTTTATTGGTCAAACTGTTACAATCACAGCTCCCCTTTGAGGGCAAATAGCATTCATCAAATGGGCACAGCCTGTTCTGCTAGTCATTAACCACAGCCAGGAATGTATAAATACCAGCTACCAATTCACAATGGGGGTTACAAATTGTAAACTTGGAGCAATTTATAATTAATGTTTAGTAGATTACAAAATCTCTCCTACAGTAGATTTTAAAAATGCCAGTTTCTTCTTTTCACAGTATATTGTCAGCATCTGTAAATATTTAACATTAACGACTTCATACACTTGCATGCCTACTTATGCCAAACTGGGTTTCTTTAAGAATTTAAAAGCTATCAGGCGTGGTGTGTGGTGGCCCATGCCTTTAATCTCAGCACCTGGGAGGCAGAGGCAGGCGGATCTCTGTGAGTTCATGGCCCAGCCTGGTCTACATAGTGAGTTCCAGGACAGCTGGGGCTACAGGGAGACCCTGTCTCAAAAAAGACCAAAAAAAAAAAAGAGAGAGAGACCTTACAAACTGCTTTGGTAGCCAGGTGTGGTGGCACACACCTTTAATTCTGGCACTCAGGAGGCAGAGGCAGGCAGATCACTGTGAGCTGAAGGCCAGCCTGCTCTACATAGTGAGCTCCAGGCAGTGAGGGCTACATAGTGAGACTTTCAAAAAAAACCAAACCAATGAAAACCTGCTTTGGGGTATGTTCCCAATGGAGACAGGAATAAGACTCTAAAAAACTGTAACTGAAGATCTTTCAGGTCCTCAGTGGAACTGAGAACACCTTTGGTACCAATGAGCCTAAAGATTACTCAAAAGGGGGCTCCATTGGTAGCGTGCTTGCCTCGCAAGCATGAGGCTTAGCACCACATAAGTAAGGCATGGTACACGCCTGCTAATTCCAGCACTCTGGAGGTAGAGGCAGGAGGTCAGAACTCAAAGGTCATTGCCAGCTACATAGCAAGTTCACAGCCAGTCTGGGTTCTACCTAAAGAAACAAAAACAACAAGCAAACAAAAACCCCAAAGCAACAGTAGAAGAAAGAAAAGGGTGACAGCGTTCTTTTTCACCTTAAAGAGGCACTTGTCTGGGAGTGACCTAAACTTGCTTAGGGAGTAACGTATTCACAAGTTCCCTGGGAACTGTTGCAGATACTATATTTGTCTGCCTTTTTTCTAAAAATATGTTCAAGATACAAATTTTTCAAGAAACAACAAGAAAAATAAGTTATTTAGGTGGCCAGCAAGACAGCTCAATGGATAAGAGCACTTGCCACCAAGACCTAACCACCTGAGTTCAATCCCTGGAGCTCACACACAAAATAAATGAAATTTTTTTTAGAAATAAAGTTACTTATTATGTCAAAGCTGTCAGAAAATCCAGGCAGAATGGACTGTAGCTTTAAACGTTTACTGAATCATAATCAGTAAAAGCTGGTAATGGTGCCATGCACCTGTGATCCCAGCACTTGGGAGGGGGAGGAAGAAGCATCAGGAGTTCAAGGTTATCCTCAGCTATGTAGTAAGTTCCAGGCCCTACGTGAAACCCTGTCTCAAAAACAAGAATTATCAACAATAAAACCAGATTAGAATGGGGCAAACAGTGAACTGGCAGTCGGTCAGTTGTTTAGTGAGCACTGATGAACGCATATGTTTCGGCTAAGCAATTGGGAAGTCCACTGAGTATTGAATAGATGCTCTCAATGATGACATTTAAGGTGGAGAAGGGGGAATCTTTATCACAAATATGAGGTACAGGGCCACATGGTACCCCTGAAGATGTTTAACAATTAAGTACATACACTTGATAAGAAAAAAACCAAGTTGCTAATATATTGGGAGTATTAGGAAAAAGAAAATAGGAACAAACTAAGGGAGAAGCAGAGCACTGTGGTACAGTGAGGGCTGGAGAAAGATGAGAAGTGAGGCTCCAAGAGAACCTAAATGCTTTCAAAGAATGACTGACAAAGGCTAGAGTGCAAGAGTAGAGTGCAAGGCTCAGCACTTGCCTAGCAGAGGGAGGCTGTGGGTTCTTACCCCAGCACCAGGGGGAAAAAAGAAAAAAGATAAGCCCCTGAAGGCCACAGTAATCAGATTTAGATGACATGTGCCATCCTAGAGTTCACTTTAAACAGAGTCAGTATTAAGAATTTTACGACCTCTTTGAAACTTCTCTCCCCAACTTCATATACAAGGTATGACTATAAAGCAATGAGACTTAGGAAACACCAATCACAAACACAGGAGACCTTACATATCAGATGAGTGTGGTCCTTTGCTGTCATCACACCAGGCACAACAACAAAATATTACTTTATTATAGTGGTTTAACAACAAAATATTACTTTATTATAGCGGTTTGCCGATTTAAAAATGCTTTAGTATTCATTTTCATGATTCCAACTTATCTCAACAACTCAATATGACAGATCACTTAAAGATAAGCTGAGAGCAAGAGAAGTGAGCTGGTCCATGGACACTTAGAAGTGCAGCGGGACTAGATTAGGAACTGAGACTCCTAGCTCGGTGAGCATTTCAACACAGCCTGCTGCCTGGCCACACAATGAATCCAAAGATGCTGCCATTACTCAGAACACTTCTGGAACTCCTCTGGAACTGCCTCCAGAGCCAGTGTACAAGCAACACGAGAAAAATCGGTCTCATTACCTTATAATCATACCTTGTTCTGACCCCAAATGGTGTCATTGAACTCAATCACTCACCTTATTTATCAGTCTTGACTCCGAATGACTTTTGGCTGTCCAAAAATCAAATCCACCCTCAAAGGACGAAGATTTCCCATCATTGAGGATAATCAAAAGAATGTGTCGCAGACTCTGAAGGCAATGCCAAAAGAGGAGTTCCAAAAATGTGTTTGAACAATGACCGCACTGTTGGAATATGCGTCTAGCTGCCAAACGAACCACTCTGAAGGGACAATACTCATCTGGATCTATTTGCTTTTGGCATGCTTATTTTTAAAGAGCCCAATTATTTTATAGTCATATTTTATAAATGACAAAATAATTATAGAGACATGAAGTTTTGGGTAGGTCACATGTCCTGATAGAAAACTTGGGAGCTATGAATCACAAAAGTTTTAAATTTTAAAAAAGGCTTTGATAGGATAAACTCTCAGAAGCAGATCTTATGAAACAAAATGCATATGCATATCCAATCTTCCTGATAATGTGAAACTGCGGTTTAGAAAGATCACGTGATTCACCCAAGGCATACTGTTAGTTATTGTTATGACTTGGACTAAAATGAAGATTTTTCTTTTCTGATTTTTTATACATTTTCATTCTATCTACACTGTTTCTTAAGAACAAAATTAGCTAAATAATGAAGAAACAATAAAACACTAAATGGAGAGCCAGGTGTAACTGTGGGTGTCTGCAATCCCACACGTGGGAGGCTGACACAGAAGGATGGTAAAATTGAGTCCAGCCTGGGCTACACAGTGAAACCCTGTTTCAAAATACCCAAAAGCAAAATAAACCACCACCAAATGGTAACTTTTTTGAGGTAGTGTTATAAACAAATTCATCAAAGTCAGTAACTCAGGCCAACTGTTCTAAAATGACCCTGAAATTCTTCTACTCTGACTCACAGGTGCAAAACTACTCTGCTCACGTAACTCCTAGAAATTAATTCTTAGGGGATGAAGGCCAAGCAGTGGCTTAAATTCTAAATTTACTGACCTTTGTTTCAATTAAGCGCTCCTTTTGTGGCCAAGCGTGGTGGTGCAAGTCTTTAATCCCAGCACTTGGGAGGCAGAGGCAGGCAGATCTCTGTGAGTTTGAGGCCAGTCTAGTCTACACAGAGAGTTCTAGGCCAGCCAGGGTTACAGGGAGACCCCTGTCTCCAAAAAAGCAAGACAAAACACAAAGATATTTTTGAGCTAGGTATGGTAGTGCTTGCCTGTAATCACAGCACTTGGGAAACTGAGGCAGGAGGATCCCAAGTTTAAGGCCAGCCTGGACTATACAGCAAATCTTGTCTCCAAATAAACAAGAGTAAGGGAGAGAGGGAAGAGGGGGTGGGGAGAGAGAGAGAGAGAGAGAGAGAGAGAGAGAGAGAGAGAGAGAGATTGAGAGATATTGAGAGAGAGAGAGAAGCACTTTTGATCTTTTTGGGGGGGGCAGGGCACAATGTTAGAGATCAAAGCTACGGTTTTCCACATGCAAGCACATGCTTTACCACAGAGCTATACCACACACCCAAGATCTTTTTATATGATTGAGATTTTGTTTAAAAATAGGTGCTTGGGGTAGAGCCCCACAGTAGAGTACATGTTTGGCAAGCTCAATACCCTGGGTTCAATCCCCAGCACCAAAGAATAAAAGGAAATAAACACAAGAATAAAAATACAACAAAATTAAACTAGAGTTCATCTTTACTCACAAATTCAAACTCAAACATCACTGGGCTATTTTACCTTTATTGTTATAGACATCTAGGTAATTAGGGGCAGAGAAAATTGTGATAAGTGACGGAAAGCCGGTTGCTTGGCTCTTCCTGTACATTCGGTACCTGGAAGAGAGAAGAGAGACCATCTGTCTGGATAGTAAAAGGATTCTCTGCAAACATATCAAGTAAGTTTAATGTTACTTACCCAGCATCCTGGGCTTCGTGAGCTCTGATGATTGATAATAAACTGTTGTTCTGCAAAAATTCACAAACTGCAGGGTAACTGAAAAAGAAAAGTCCAGAATTACAGCAATTGTACTGTAATAGGAGAAAAGGGAAAAGCTAATGCTTTAAGATTATAGATACGACACACCAGTGAAATTTTATTAAAAGTTAAGAATCAGTGGGTTTGTCTCGTAATATATATTACAGATCAAACATGAAGATAGCAGACACCCTACAACAGAAAGAGCTTCCTCATCTTTTAATGTCTTTGTCTTAACTCATAACACTAATGATAAGGTATCAAAACGTTTCTTGTTATTGTGATATAAAAAGGACCACAGTAGCATGTGTGCTACAAAATGAGTACATGATTTTCTTCCATCATTAAACCTTTAGAAAAATAATCTAGCTTTATATGTAATACTGATATCAATATGCTACTGTGCAAGAATATTTCAGGAAGAGCTATAAATACTAAGGATGGCCCTATTCTAATGATATCTGCATCTACTCCTAGAATATTCCAATTACTGTTACCTTTCTGAATGACAAATAGGAAGAGCCAGAAAATATAAGTTGGAGGATATAAAATTATCCTAGAATTATATAGATGCCAATTAGTTTTTATTTGTTTGAAACAGGGCCTCACTATATAGCCCAGGCTGGCCTGGAACTCTCTATGTAGACCAGGCTGTCCTCAAACTCATAGAGATCTACCTGCCTCTACCTTCTGAGTGCTGGGACTACAAGCATGTGCCACTGTACCTGGCTAGTTTATTTTTTTAAATCTTTGTTTCCTGGGCTCAATCCCCAGCCCCACATAAGCCAGGGATGGTTCGTACACCTGCAATTCCAGTACTTGGGAGGTAGAGGCAAGAGAACCACAAGTTGATGGTCAAGACCAGCCTAGGGTGCATGAGACCTTGGGAGGGACAGAGGGAGGGAGGGAAGGAAGAAGGGAGAGCACAAAAGGGGGGGGCAACTTTCTCATACTCAACTGAAAAAAATTTACTTTTCAGATAGACTGTATGTGACGTTATTATTAAGATTGCAGAATGGGAAGTGCCCAGCTCTTGTCCCCAAACAGAAACAACTATTTGTCATCGATACACAGAATAAGAGGCACTTTTGTGGACGCCTTAGGAATGAGGTAGGAGGTTGTGAAATCTTCATAAAGCCAAGACCAAGGAGGGCCACTTTGAAAAGGCAGTCCCCTCCCTGCACCAGCCATCTAGCTGCAGACCAGAAGCAGCCTAGGCCTCTATTAACTTAGCTCCGATCCTCTGCTTGTCTACAGTGCTGCCAGTAGGCCCATCTACTAAGGACCCAGGGAAGAGCTACAACCGCTGGTGACTTACCAATGAGACCTAACGGTGAACCTGAAGCAACACTGTAAGCAAGCCTAAGTCCCACTCCACTGTGACTAGAGGCCTGGTGGGATCCATGCTTGTCCATACGCCTGGTAACAGAGTTGCTGACTAGGTCCAAATGCAGACCTCAATCAGCTTGAGTCTGATTTTTTTGCATTCCAGAGGGAGTTTTATCATATCAAAGCTATGACAGGAGACATGCCTATCTATGCCCTCAGTAGCAACCATGGACCTTACTACGGCCCCAGTGATCTGGCTTTAGCCCTGCTCAACCCTGATCCTAGAGCAGTGCCATCAGTCTAGGGACCCAGCAGCAGCAAAGTAAAGACGAGAGGAAGTAACTGATCGTTTGGAAGCAAAGAAACTAATGTATGTCTACTATGGATCATGAAGAGTCAAGAAAAAAATGAGAACACTTCAACAGCAATCAGTTATATAGAAGAAAAGATTTTTACTGAAACAAAGATGATCATTTGAATCACTCAACTACAAGAACAAAAAGAGAAAAGAACACGTATAGAAAGTATATGGGACTCATAGGACAGCATTAAGCAAAAGCATATGTTAATATTATAGGAGTTCAAAAAGGAGAATACACAGTTTGGCATGGTGGTGCATACCTGCAATTCCAACACTAGGGAAGAAGAGGTCTACCATTTCAAGGCTAGCATGGTCTATATAGTGAGTCCAGGCCACTTGGGACAACATAGTGAGATCTTGTCACAAACAAACAAACAAACATGAAGACTACAAAGCCAGGCACAGTAGAACATGTCTGCAATCCCAGTATACAGGAGGCTGAGGCAGGACCATTGCTGCAAGTTTGAGACCAGCCAGAGTGATACAGCAAGACTGTCTGAAAAAAAAAAATGGATGTGTGTATGCTTAAAGAAATAATGCTGAGAATTTCCCAAATCAAGGGAGGAAAAAGAACATTTCAATTCAGAAGCCCAAAGGCCTTCAAATAAGAAAATGCAAAAAGTCTCAAATCAAGATGCCTATAGTTACCAAAAGTGAAAAACAGAAGTTTTAAAGCAGGGAAAAGGCACTTAACCATAAGACAAGAGCATTCTCATCAGATTATCAATGGATTTCTGGGCAGAAACCTTGTAGGATAGGACAGAAGGGGACAGAATATATAAATTATTAAAAAGAAAAAAAAAAGTGCCACCTGAAGTTTTAAAGGCCTGATACAAGACATCCTTTACAATGAAGGAGTGCCAAGACTGTCCTAGGCAGCTTAGGGAATATGCTATCATTACACCAGCCTTACAAGGACAGCAAAGGAAGCTCTTCAAGTCAAAATGAAAAGATGCTGAACATGAAAGGACTGAAAATCACTAAAGTCAAATACACACAGAGATGCTGGTGATATGGCTCAACAGATAAAGGTACTTGCTATGCAAGCCTGGGAACCTAAGCTTAATGCCCAGAACCTACGTAAAGGTAGAAGAAACCCAAAACACCACAAAGTTATCCTTGAGCTTCTACATGTAGGCTGTGGCACATATGCACACACACACACACACACACACACACACACACACACACACAAGTAAAAATGGGGGGCTAGAGAGATGGCTCAGTAGTTAAGAGCACTGGCTGCTCTTCCAGAGGACCTGGGTTCGATTCCTAGCACCCACATGGCAGCTAACAACCATCTGTAACTCCAGTTCCAGGGGAGTCTGACACCCTCTTCTGACCTCCACAAGCACCGCATGACACGAGTGCACCTATCTACATGCAGGCAATATACTCACACATATAAAAAAACAAAAACATTTAAAATTAAAAAAATAAGCCAGTGTGGTGGCGTACGCCTTTAATCCCAGCACTCGGGAGGCAGAGGCAGGTGGATCTCTGTGAGTTCAAGGCCAGCCTGGTCTACATAGTGAATTCCAGGACAGCTGTGGCTATGGGGAGATCTTGTCCCAAAAAGGCCAAAAAAAGTGAATTCATGAATAGTCATAAGACATTATTCCTAGGGACCATTTAGCACTAGGTTCCTAGGCACCTTTGGTCATTTTCAGCAACCAATTAATCCATAGTTCTGTTTCACATGGGTTTCTCTGTAAGGACCTTGTCCTGGAATATACTGCTGATTCATTAACATTGAACTCACGGCCAATAACACACAACTCACACCAGACAAAGATTATCGCGCACACATGCATTTTCTCTGTAAGTTACACTGTAGCTGTCTTGTGTTCGAGGGCACTGGACAACACTTCAGCACTCAGCTTGAGTGCTATTTTGAACAGTGAAATCAATCACTGACAAAAAGTGGAAAAGTGGCGCTGGAGCAAGGCTCACAGGTTAAGAGCACTGATTGCTTTTGCAGAGGACTGAGGTTTGATTCCCAGCACCCACACGGTGGTTAACAACCGTCTATAACTCCAGTTCCAGGGAATCTGACGCCCTCTTTTGACTTCAGGCATTACACAACACAGGTGCACTTATATAACACAGGCAAAAAATAAAAATAATAAATAAGACTTTTTTTTTAAAAAGTAGAAAAGCATCATTAACAAGAATGTAAGATAACAATGTCACACTAAACAGACCACAGAAAGCACACTGTTGTTCATACCATGAGAGCGAAAACAAGAAGCTGAGCATTGTCTAGCTAACCTCCGCCAGGAACATGACTACGGGGTAACTCAAAATTTTTTGTTCTTCTACACAACGCAGGTCCGTGACATTTGTAAAAGCTCTCTGAGGACTGATTTGTGTTTACAAGCACATCTTAGTTGAGTATGGGTATTCACTGTCTATCTCCAAGATGAAGTTTTAGAAAGATTTCGGGATCAAAGGTCATATGTATTGACAAATTAGATATTTCCAAGTTGACCAGAGAAACTGTATCAATTGACATTCAGTCAACAATAATACCAATATTATATTCTTATTTTAAATTTTATTTTATTAATAATTTTTTTTATCTGTATGAGTGTATTACTTGCAGGTATGTAAGTGTACCCTTGTTGTGCAGTGCCTGCAGAGGTGGAGGGCATTGGATTTCCCTGGAACTGGAGTTATAGATGGTTGTTAGCCACAATGTGGATGATGGGAATTGAACCTGGGTCCTCTGCAAGAGCAGCCAGTGCTCTTAACTGCTGAGCTAACTCTCCAGCCCCCTCCCCCTTTTTTATGAGACAGGATCTCCCTATATAGCCTTGGCTGGACTAGAAGTTACTATGTAGACCAGGCTGGCCTTGAACTCACAGAGATCTGCCTGCCTCTTCCTCCCAAGGACTAGGATTAAAGACATGCACCACCACACCTGGCCTATCTTTAAGCAATATAAAAAAAAAAAAAAGGAAAAGATAAATGGTCTCACTAAATCCCTAAAAAAGTTGAAGGAGAAGAATGCAAAAAGATTATTTTAAAAAATGTTAAAATTGGGGCTGGAGAGATGACTCAGCAGTTAAGAACACTGGTTGTTCTTGCAGAAGACCCAGGTTCAAATCCCAGCACCCACATGGCAGCTAGTAACTGTCCCTAACTCCAGTCCCAGAGGATCTGACAGTCTCTTTTGACCTCCGCTAGCATTGTACAACACAGGTGCACTTACCTACATGCAGGCAATACACGCATACACATAAAATAAAAATAATAAAAAGTTTTTAAAAATGTTAAAATTAATAGCGAAATTGAGACATCTTGTGTATATGTGTGTTTTACTTAATAAATTCATTATCTTAGCCAATTGACAGATTTTTAGGGGACTACTATTTGTCATGATAAAATAATGGAATTAAAAATAGTTAATATTTTTGCTGGATGTGGTGGTGCATGCCTTTAATCCCAGCACTTGGGAGGCAGAGGCAGGTGGATCTCTGTGAGATCAAAGGTAGCCTGGTCTACAAAGCAAGTTCCAGTCCAGCTGGGGCTACAGGGAGGCCCTGTCTCAAAAGGACAAAAAAAGAAAAGTTAATATTTCAAGCCGTCTACTTTTTTAAGTGGCAAACCACACTGAAAACTTACATGTGAGTTTTAGGACAACAGTCAAATTCCAGGAAATGTCCTGGGCTTAGATCTCAATGTCCTGTTCTTTTTATAGCTCTGACTATACCAGCAGTTCCAAAAGATGGAGAGGTTTTCAAAACATAATAGGGTTCCCCTGTCTCAGGGCCCACTGACTCTCTAAGAAAAGATTCAAGTTATCTAATATTTTTTGAGACAAGGTCTCACTGTGTAGCTCGGGCTGGCCTGGCAGTATATATATAGACCAGATTGGCCTTGAACTCACAGATATTCACCTGCCTCTGCTTCTTGAGTGCTAGGATTAAAGGTGCACATCACCACGCCCAGCTCCTCATTTAATATTTTATAAAAGTATATGGATAAGGGGCTGGAGAGATAACTCAGTGGTTAAGAGCACTTGCTGCTCTTGCAGAGGACCTGGGTTCGATTCCCAGCACCCACATGGCAGCTCATAACATCCTCTTCTGGCCTCCACGAGTACTAGGCATGCACGTGGTACATATATACAAAGAGGCAAATACACACATAAAATAAAAAATTTAAAGTATATAGATGATGTTTAGGAACAAATAATTTGGATCATTTAGACCTAAACAACAACATCTAAGTACTTAAAAATGTCTAATTATGTTTGGTGCATCACACTTCCTATTGTATAATGTCTCAGAAAATATTAAATAAGAGTCTTTTGCTATTAAGGATTTAAACATGTGTTTGCTTAGCCTGTGTGAAGTCCTGGGTCGAATCTCTAGCACCAAAAATGAAGCAAAGTGGGGGAGGGAAGGGGAGTTGAGAAAGGGACGTGAAAAACAAAGAGAAAAGAAGAGAGGAGAGAGGGGGAGAAAGTAAACAGAAGTCCACAAACTGCGTGTTTGCTATCTAAACCACTTTAAAATAATTTCACTGGAGAGATGGCTTGATGGTTAAGAATGCTTACTGTTCTTGTAGAGGACTGAGGTTTGGTTCCCAGCACCCACATGGTAGCTCACAACTACCTGTGATTTCAGCTCAAGGGGATCCAGCCTCTCTCCTCTCTGGCCTCCGAAGACACCTAGTCACCTGCACATATCTCCCATACACAAAATTAAAAATAATAAAAAATAATTCTTAAAAAAAATAAAATGCAGTGTTGGATGTGTTGGAATACACCTTTAATCCCAGCACTCAGGAGGCAGAGGCAGGTCAATTTCTGAGATCAAGGCCAGCCTGGTCCACAAAGCAAGTTCCAGGCCAGCTAGGGCTACAAGGAGACCCTCTAGGGGAAAAAAAACAAAAAAACAAAAAACAAAAAAAAACATAAAATAGGATAAAATGGATCACAGTTTCTTTTGTAATCTCCTATTCTGAGGATCAGCTTACCTGAAAAAGTAAGAGCACCCTCGGACGGTGTTGTGGGTATAGTGCTCCAAGGTTTTCTCATTACCATAGTCCTCCGAGGGATCCGACCAAAGCAGGTCACACACTGGCCCGAAAGCAGGAGGCTCAGTAAACCTATCTAACTAGAAGATACACAAAACCAAATGAGAAAGCAATCAGAAAAGCAAAAGGTCTCGGAAGCAGGCAGGCCATGCCCCTTCTACCTATGTTCTCGCAAGAAAATGAACATTAAAAAGTTCAGATACACTGTTTTATTATCCTATTCCTGCCATCTAACCATACTGTAGACAGGGACCTCCTTATAAGCTAATCTTGTTTTTTTGAGACAGGGTCTCATTATATAGACCAAGCTGGCCTGGAACTCACAGAGAGCCACTTGCCTCTGCCTCTGGAGTACTGGGGTTAAAGGCATAGAGCAACCACCCCTGGACCACAACTTAATCTAAATGCAGGACTCATTCAATTTGAATATGAAATCAACCACCATAAAGTACTTTAGAAAGACTGTCTGAAGTTCATTTGAGTTGCCAATGGGAACCAATGTCATAGGAGAGCAAGAATGCTTTGTAATTTGCTTACTTCATTCCAATAGAGATTTTTTTTTTTTTTTGGTAAAGGATTTTTATCCCTTCCACCATTTGATGGAGAAGTAGTTAACATTGGTTATTCACTTACATTTTAGTCACTGCTGCTTTAGTTAAAAACATTAAAATCCCAAGAATTACAAATAGTGTCAAAAAGAGGACTTCTGCTGAGTAAAAGGGGAGTTCTTCATTAAGTCAACTGATTCAGAATTTTTAAATCCAAAATTTGCTATTTAAAAGAGAAATGCCAGATATCTTAAAGACACCAGAAAAGCCAAGACAGTTACACTCTCTCACCCTGCAGAGACTGCTATGCACTCAGAGAAAACAGTTCTATGAACAGAAAAATCTTAAGTTTGTATCTATCACAGAGCATTGAATGAATGGCTAGGGTTTGGAGGAGGTACCATGTGAGGCACCATGGATGAGCAAGCCTGGTCCTCTTTGCAAACATGAAGACAGACTCTTAGAAAAATAGTCTCCATGTAAGGCAAATGAACAACTAATTAGATCATTTAAAATTCTAAAGTCAATGGATTTCAGAGCTGGCAGAGTCCTCAAAGAATCCATTTCAACTTCCTCACTTTACAAAGAAAATGTAATGAAAGGTTAAGGGATTTGGCCAAGGTTCCACAATTAATGGCAGGACTGGAATTAGAACCAGGGTTTCTTTCCCTGAACACTGCAACATAATCTAAAATTTCAAAGCTGGGCTGGTGGCTCATGAGGCAAGAGGATTATCTGTACTCTAAGGCTAGCCTGAGTTTTGCAGAGAAACCCTGTTTCAAAAATACAAACAAACTAAGCTGGGCGTGGTGGTGCACGCCTTTAATCCTAGCACTCAGGAGGCAGAGGCAGGCGGATCTCTGTTGAGTTTGAGGCCAGCCTGGGTAGCTGGGGCTACCGGGAGACCCTACCTCAAAAAGGCCAAAAAAGAAAAAAAATTAAAGGAAGTTTCAGAGTTATACTATAAGAGTAATATTCTTTTAACCAGTAAGATTTAATTTTTAAAAAGAGAAATTAGGGGCTGGAGAGATGGCTCAGCGGTTAAGAACACTGGTTGTTCTTGCAGAAGACCGCACCCACATGGCAGCTAATTGTCCCTAACTCCAGTCCCAGGGAAATCCGAAGGAGGTCAGAAGAGGGCAGTTTGTAGCCGTCATGTGGGTGCTGGGAATCGAACCCAGGTCTTCTGCAAGAACAGTCAGTGCTCTTAACCGCTGAGCCAACATTCCAGCCCATTAATAAAAAAAATTTTTGAAAGTTTTTTTAAAAAAGAGAGAGAGCCGGGTGTGGGGGCACATGCCTTTAATCCCAGTACTGGGGAGGGAGAGGCAGGCAGATCTCTGTGAGTTTGAGGCCAGCCTGGTCTACATAGTGAGTTCCAGGACAGCTGGGGCTACAGGGAGACCCTGTCTCAAAAAGACCAAAAAAAAAAAGAGAGAGAGAGAGAGAGGGAAATTAGAAATGTATGATTTTCAAAGCATTAACAGTAGTTATCCTACAAAAAGAAGACTGTGGTTAATTTCTGTTTCCTACTTTGATTGTATTTTTTTCAGTCTCAGTTAAAGATGCATTAATTGGCTGGCTACAATTTAAATAACAAAAACAAAAGCAAAAACCAAGGAGCTGGAGAGATGGCTCAGCAGTTAAGAGCACTGACTGCTCTTGCAGAGGACCGGGTTCGATTCCCAGGACCCACATGGCGGCTACGAACTGTCCTTAACTCCAGTTCCAGGGGAATCCGAAGCCCTCTTCTGACCTCCCCAGGCACTGCACGACACATACATGCAGGAAATACACTCATACACATAAAATAAAAATAATAAATAGAATATTTTTTTAAAAAAACACCAAAATTTAAAATATACTCTATGAAAATAACAAAAGCTTACTTACTTTCCTAATGTCATCTAAACAAGTAATTTCAGGTGACATTCCTCCGTGTACACAGAGGAACTGCTGGTTTAAGAGTGCAGCAAGAGGAAGGCAGTCAAATGTATCCATGCACGCGTCGTACACCTGCTCTGAGTATTTGATCCGACCTGCCAAAAAATGAAAAGTTGAAGGATGAAAAGCCATTATACATGAAAAAGAATGTAAGTCAGAACAGCAAGATGCCACCTCAAAAGCCATTCATTTCAGGCAAATTTGAAAAGCACAAAACCACCTCTGAAAAGTTGTAGATAACAGCTAATAAATCTCCTTCCCTTTCTAAAGGCAAGTGTGACCTTGGATTAGCTTTCCAAGCTTTGTTGCCCTGGAAACCTGATAAGGCAGTTGGTTGTCAGCTGTCTTATTAGGCAACATCACTACCTGGCAAGGATATGGCTTAGAGCTCCTCTGAGGGTGATGACTCATCACTGGGTATGTCCTTTTAGGACCCTGAAGTTCTGACAGTGAAGCATTTACAAGGGATACAGGAGGCTTCTAAGGCAGAGTGGCTCCCTCATCTACCCCACGTGGAACAATTCCCACAATATCAATCATTGTCTCAGAATCAGTAACCTTTTGCTCATTATTTTTAAGATGTGTAAGTGGGATGGAGATATGGTTAAGAGCACTGGATGTGTTTGGAGAAGACCCAGGTTTGGTTCCCAGCACCCACATGGCAACTAACAACCATCTGTAACCAATTCCAGGGAATCTAACACTGCCTTCTGGCTTCTATGGCCACTGTATACATGCAGGCCTAACATTCATACACATAAAAGTAAATATATAAGAGATGAAGACTGGTCCTCCCTAGTCTTTGATCTCCTGCTACTATGTGATCTCTCCTTTGCACATATTCCCAACATGAAGTTCTTAGCAGTATGGAGTCTATGCTAGTGCCATGCCTTTGAACCTCCAAAACTGAGCTGAACAAATCTCTTTTCTTAAAAAACTACCCAGCCTTAGGTATTTTCTCATAGGAACAGAAAACATATTTACACTTGGCCTTGGGTTTCAAAGTCAACTGTGCTTTAGAGTGTGTGCTGGTAAAGAAGACCACACATGGTACATGCAGACAGGCATATGAGCCCTGTACACCTCCTCCTCCTCTCATGTTTCAGTATCAGAGCCTTGGCCTTGGTTTTGGTGAATAAAGTGAAGGATAATGAATCCTAATTTGGACCAGACTGTGGCGCCTAGACTGTAGGAATGATGAGACTCTTAAGGGAAAGTGTAAACTGAGGGACCACATGCAGTTAGGAACCCTTCCATACCTGAATACCATGGTTTTTCTCTTCTGGGCCAATAATGAGCCATCCAGGTTTGGGTTTTTTTAGGTGAGAATGTGGGTTAACTTTTCAGAATTTTTTATATTACTGTGATAGCAGTTAGGAGCATTTATTTTATAGCACATGATTTTTTTTTTTTTTTTTGGTCTTTTTCAGACAGGATCTCCCTGTAGCCTCTGGAACTTGCTATGTATGTAGACCAGGCTGACCTCAAATTCAAAGAGATCTGCTTGAGTACTGGGATTAAACCACCATGCCCAAGTAGGACATGCTACTTTAATACAAGCTCAGAGTGAGCAAGAACCACATCTTATGCAGCTCTCTTATCTCTTTATAGTTATATTCTTATCTGACTATTTCAAAAGTAGATCCAACATGGGGTATAAAGTCTATTGAAAATATAAAGACTGGGCGTGGTGACACATGCCTTTAATCCCAGCACTTGGGAGGCAGAGGCAGGCAGATCTCTGTGAGTTCAAGGCCAGCTTGGTCTACATAGTGAGTTCCAGGTTAGCTGGGGCTACAGGGAGACCCTGTCTCAAAAAGAAAAAGAAAAAAGAAGAAAGAAAGAAAGAAAGAAGAAAGAAAGAAAGAAAGAAAGAAAGAAAGAAAGAAAGAAAGAAAGAAAGAAAGAAAGAAAATACAAAAATCCTTTAATTTCTGGCCAGTGCTGGACATTTCTTCGAAAAACTCTCAAAGCCTAAGTTCCCTCTGCTGCCTCCATCAACAGGAATTTCTCTGGTAGAGTCCTAAGTTTGAATACAGGTAAGAATTTAAGTTCCTACTTCATGCTCCATAACATCATCTAGTATTGATAACACTCCTTTCAACCCTAACTCAAAAGAATTTCTTAGCTGACTTCCAAAAGGATGGCAAATCTGGGGAGATACAGTAAATACAGTGTATTAAGCCATTCTGTAAACTAAAATGAAAGCCAGAAATCAAATTAGGCAAGAAGAAATTCATGCTGTGTGAGCAAAATGGGTTACTAGCTGTTAATTTTTTCAATCTAACCCCTGAAGAGTTAGATTGAAGACAGTATCAATAACCTTATTTAATCTCCATTTTCCTGATTTTCCCTAATGAATACATTGTTTTATTTATTTATTTGGCTTTTGGACATATGTTCTCCTTGTATCCCTGGCTGGCCTGGAACTCACAGAGATCCCCCTGCCTCAGCCTGGGATTAAAGGCGTGGGTCATCACCCCCATCAGTACATATCATTTTTTAAATTTATTTACTTTATTTTATTTATTATTTTTATTTTATGTATATGTGTGTATTGCCTGCATGTAGGTAAGTGCACCTGTGTCATGCAATGCCCACAGAGATCAGAAGAGGCTGTTGGATCCCCTGGAAGTGGAGTTACAGACATTTGTTAGCTGCCATATGGGTGCTGGAATTAGAACCCAGGTCTTCTGCAAGAATAGCCAGTGTTCTTAACTGCTGAGCCATCTCGCCAGCCCAGTACATATCTTTTCATAAAATTATTATATTATTCCTGGAACTTCTGGACATCTCCCACTGTACCCATATGTGAGCTAGCCATGTGTTTGTCCCAGCCTGGTGGACAGGAAGATGGTATATGACCTAACTCCCTCAGTTTACCCCTCAGATCTGTCAGTTTCCTAGCTTGGAACCTTCAGCAATCATCTGCTGTGATTTCTCAACCATAAAAAGAGAATGATAAGTTCTACCTATGAGTCAGAATGCTTTGAGAATTGAAGGGAGCTGAAAATGCAAAATATATCATGTCTAGCAACACAATAGGTAGGTACTATGTGAACGTTAGCCCACACAGGATCCCTATAAGGTATGTACTATTCCATGTTAGTCTAAAAGCTGAAGAAATTGGGCCTGATGCCCAGAACTGCAAGCTAATAAATGGCAGAACTTAGACATGTTCATGTCTCTTTTAGGGGGATTTTTTGTTTTGTTTTGTTTTGTTTTGAGACATGGTCTCCCTGTAGCCTCAGCTGGCCTGGTACTTGCTATATAGACCAGGCTGGCCTCCAACTCACAGAGATCTGCCTGCCTTTGCCTCTGGAGTGCTGGTACTAAAGGTGTGCATTACCACCCCTGACTTAAGTTTCTTTAAAAAAAATTATTTTATTATGCGTATGAGTGTTTTGCCTGTGTGCAAAGCCCACACAGACCAGAAGGGCATCGAATCCCCTGGAACTAGAGTTACAGACTCTTGTTAGCTGCCACATGGGTGCTGGGAACTGAACCTGGGTTCTCTGGAAGAGCAGTCAGTGCTCTTAATGGCTGAGCCATCTCTTTGGCCCCATATTCATGTTCTTAACCACCCTCCCAAACTCCTCTTAATCATGGTGCTGGGATTTGAACCCAGGGCCTTACAAATGCCAGGCAAGCACTCTAGCATAGTATTACATCTTCAGCCCTTGGATTTTCAACACAGGGTCTTGCTATAAATCTCAGGCTGGCCTCAAACTAGCAGCTCCAAAGTGCTGGGATTACAAGCATGTGCCATATCCCCAGCTCTAACCATTATTTTTAAGTTAACAATTCTAGAATATGCATATCCAAATATATAATTCTCAATGATTAAATCACCTGATTTTAAGAGCTTCATATTCAGCTGAGCGTGGTGGTGCCCAGCACTCCAGAGACAGAGGCAAGTAGATCTCTGTGAGATTAAAGCCAGCCTGGTCTACATAGTGAGTTCTAGGGCTGGGGAGACCCTGTCTCAAAAAGACACACACACACACACACACACACACACGTGCGCGCGCGCACACACACACAGAGTTTCATATTCATGAAAAAATTAAGATCTACATTCTAAAGCAAAACTTCTCTAAAGTACAAGCAACTATATTACAGCCACAGGATCTGATTGTTTATCTTTTTTTTTTATTCCAAAGAGAGGCAATTTTTTTTTTTCTTTGTATTTTTGAGACAGGGTCACCCTGTAGCCTGTCCTAGAACTCACTATATAGACCAGGCTGGCCTTGAACTCATAGAGATCCGCCTGCCTCTGTCTCCTGAGTGCTGGGACTAAAGGCGTGCACCACCACGCCTGGCTGAGAGGCAATTTTTAACACATTTTTCCAGAAAAAATTGAAGCAGGGTTACATTAAAATATATAAGGGGGAATAAGAAATCAAAGACCAAAAGATTTGCCAACATGGGGTCAACTGTGGTAGAATAACAAAGGTTTCTATTAGGTCTGGTTTGTTTGTTTGTTTGTTTTTAAATCCTAATGAGTTTATTGGGCTTGCTAACAGAGCATAGGGTGGGGAGTTATTTATAGAAGAGTGGGCGCCCCCCATTTTCAGATGCACTGCAAAATCCACACTCAATATAGATCCTGTGACTTCCCGACAGCAACACAAAATGGCAAGAGAGGTGCCTCATGGCATTCTTGGCTTGTATATCCTTAGCCCTTCCCTGTTTTATCTCTTTGAGACAGGATCTCCCTTTAACTTCGGCTAGCCTGGACTCAAAATTTAGACCAGGCTGGCGTCAATCTCACAGAGGGTACCAGTATTAAACGTGTGGGTCACCACACCTGGCAGGATCTGAGTTTTAACCAGTACCAATAATATATATATAGCATGACAAAAGTTTTATTTTATGTTTTGGGTTTAAAACATGGTCTCATATGACCCAATCTGGCCTCAAACCTACTATGAGAACGACCATCAATGGCTGATCTTCCTGACCCACCTCCTAAGTGCTGGGACTGCAGGCATGCATCACCACGCATGGCAACTGAACAAATTTTAACATAATTCCAAGAGAACAATTTTGAGAGCCAGCACTATTTATAGGACACCATACCCTGCTAGGCATG